GACAAAACAGTAATATTGATCCTTAGTCTACACCATAAAAAATAAAAATAAAACTATTTAACAACTTGAAATTATCTAATGACTTAAAGACAATCTACACATACAATTACTACCAACCTTTTAAGTTCATTGGCAATCATCTTTGAATTACTATAAAGCCAACAAGCATTGTTTGATTAGTGTAAATAGAAGGATCTTACTAGCCATCAGTCCAACCTCATTCCTATAATATGTCTAAAAATATAGACTAATAAAATACAAAATGGGTCAATATTGATAGTCTTTGGCAATAATATCCACAATTAAGAGATGATACTAGAAACAAAAGTCAAAATCCAAATTAGATCCTTATCACAACAATATAGAAGCAATATTTATAAGTAAATCAAAGCAATCGACAACTATCTATGGTTAATGGTTACAAGTCATAAAACTTGTAACAATAAAGGAAAATTGCATGAAGATCCATAATCCAAAATATAAAGAAGTAAAAGATTAAAACTAAGCTAGAAAAAGATAAGTATTAAATAAATGTATGTTAAATATTTTTGATAACCTCCAATCTATAAATTAATAATACCATTGGCTTTTTTGGAAAAATTCTATATAGAAATAATCCAAAAACTATCAAGTTTGGACTCCTTATGCTTTAAGAATAAACTTCGAAACTTTAATACACAAGAATTTTAGATAAAAAATTTTATTTTTATTTTTTGAAAATTCCAATGTAATAGATAAGTTCATATTGATGGGATGAAAATAATAGATGAATAAAAAAATTATCAATATGCATTCATCTATAATCACCTATTATTATGTATCACTTCTTTTGTATGCCATAATTTATTACAAAATATTATAGTAAGTTGTTGTGTACTACAATAGGCTATTGCATGTCATTGTTTTTTACAATCTATTGTCTATAATGAATTCTTTCTTGAAAATACATTCAAGAAAAGAGCTTTAAATAGATGTTAAAGATAATTTTCTATACTTAATACCTTCAAATCTAGATATTATCAAATTTGCAGCCAACAATTGTTATTTGTACTTCTTCTTTTCGAAACACCTTAAACCTTAAATCTTCTCTAGTAGAATTTTTCTAAATTTTCTATTCATTTCATGAACATCTTAATATGGCATCTACTTTGTGGCCATTATAGTGAAGAAATTTGTTTTCTGTTAGTATTGCAACTAGTTCCACCTTTACCTCTTTTATTTTTACCTTTATAAGCCTTCATTTAATCTTGAAAAATAAATTTACGAATATCCAACAACGAATATCAAAACAATATGATTTAAAAGCAAAAATATCTTAACATAGGTTTTAAAAACTTACTTCTAAAGACTAATGCAGCATGTACAAGGAAGAGAATGTATATGGTCACTTTTATAATCAAGCCCTTGCATCACAACACTATAGCATATTCATGGTCTAACCTCAAAACTCCCACTAGCATCGCACCAATGTCATATTTTAGCAATGAAAAATGAAAATAATATCACATCATTGTCACAACCTTCTAATCCCACATTGCATTGCATCTTGGAACTACAAGAACAACTAGTAGCCTCAACTCACAAAAAATTATATTAAGACTAGCAACAATACAAAAAAATATTCAGTATTACAACCTACAAAAATTAAAGATAAAAGTTCTTTTTTTAAAAAATAATTATGTTTTATTTTTAATTAAATATTCTACAAAATTAAAGAAGAAAAAATATTCTTGTCAAATGAAAGATAAAGTATCTAAACACAATTTAGTCAAGTTATTTCTTATTCTATAAAAAAAAGAATTCATAAGTACAAGTGTATAAATAAAACCTAAAATTTTATTTTTTGGCTAAATCACCATAGCCAAGCAAAAGCTTACAACCATGAATTTTTTTTCTTAATAATACTCATAAGACTTAACTTAACAAGGGTTTGATGTCAATAAATGTTTTTCTACCTAAATTTTCAATCCTAATTGATATTAAGAAGATAAATTAATATAAAATACTAAGTGGATAAAAATACATTGAACTAAAATAAACTATATCCATCCAATGTGATTTGGCATCCAATCCCACATCACATGATAAGATATATATATATATATATATTAATTTTTTTGATAGATTGAGTATGTTTTTATCCCTTTTTAATTTATTGATCGAAGTTTTTTCCATTGCTTAGAGCTTACTAATCTATATCTTTTATTAAGTTAATTAAGTTGGTTAATAACTTATCAAATAATTTGATACTTTAGAATTTAAATCTTTCAAAATAGATAATTTAAAAAAATATATCTCCAAATTATAGATATAATATACATATAGATCTTTTATATACTTCTAAATATGTTTTTGTTCAAGTACTTGTAAAATTTGATTTATTTTTAGTAATTAGAGATTTATTTAATTTTTTATGGAACATAATATTAAAGGTTTTTTTAAGCCAATATTGAAGAAAATACCTCACTTATGTATAAATAAGTAGCTTGTCATTTATCTTTATTTTTTAAATTAATAGAAACTATTAGAAAAAATTAAGATTTATAAAAATATAAATTAATACTATTTTCTTCAAGAAACATTAAAGAATTTTCTTAGATGTTTTCCGAGTTTTCAAAAGCACCATAATTCTATAAAAAATTTGTTCAAATAAGTTTCTAACTTCAATAAACTACTACAAAAGTATTATACAACTTAGATATTAGATTTACAAGCATTGCGGTCTTTAAAAACATATATTTTTTATTTTCAATAAATTTAATTAATATAATATTAATTTTTATTTTTTAAAGAATAATTAATGATTTTATGTTTAAAAGATAAAAAATTATTTTAATTTTTATATATTTTTATAGAAATACTATCATTGATGCATAGATGGACGAATAGAAGTCATTTGAAAATTATAAAAGTACACCTAAAAATATGTATATTTGTTATAGATAATATTCAACCAAAATAGAAACGTATCAAAAAAAGAATAATAATATGATAAAAATAAGTAAATAAATAAATAATAAAGAATAAATTTTATTTTATATATATTTATAATAATTTTTACAAATATTTCTTTAGCATAATAGAAAGTCAAAAAAACAATAGATATGTCCACTATTATTTGCAGAATTTTCAATTTAACCACTCAAGTAGTTGCAACTTTCATGACAACAAAATTGACATGAAGATTCTTTAAAAAAACACATATTCTTTATTAAATCAGTGGTGAGATGCAATATATTTTGGACAATGATCTTAAAAAGAGTCTTAGTTCTTGGTGATAGTTTTAGAAGTACATATTTTACAAAAAATAATACTTTAAAATTATTATTTGAAGGTAGTTATAAAAAAACATTAATAATGATATGATAACTAAGTGGTCTTAATTTTTATATAAAAAAATATACCAAAAGACATGTAAAACACCTTTGTACTTATCAAAATTATTATTTGTACCATATTCTAAGTGTTGATTTTTTTTATTGTCCATTGTAGATCTTATTTTCAAAGGTTGTAATAAAGTTGTAGATACTTGTATTACTCATATAAATAGTTTTAAGTAAGCGTAGATATAAATAAATTAGATAGATAATACATTATTTGAAAATCATCTAAAGAGCTTTCTAAATGCTAATTGGATCTAAATAATTTCTCCAAAATATATCTTTAAAAAGAATTTTAAAAAATTAAAAAAAAAAAAACTATTATAAAAACATTTTACACTTAAAACACTTAAGTTATAAGCTTTATGGTTCCAAAAAAGCCTCTACATGACATTTTTCAAGGCTAAGATATTTATCAATGCAATTAATGCCTGTATTTTTTTATTTTTTAATTTTTTTATCTTAATTCAAGGTCCTTTAGTTTTTATGTTTAGTATTATTCATTTCAATGTTTTAGTAATTTTAGTATAAATACATCTCTTTTAGATTTGTTTTGTTGTTAACTATATATGATTTTATTACATTTTAACAAATCTATTTAACTTCATGTCCTTGGAAATATTACAAATAAGTTGATATATATATATATATATATATATATATTGTATCTGATTTTTTCTTTAAACATTGAATGTAAGCTATTTGTTATAACAATCTTACATCTCTTAATATGGCTTGGTTCTATACAAGCATAAATTTATATATGATTTTGGTTTTAATAAATAAATTTCTAATTTTTTTGAAAATTTCACCACAACTTAATGTTATCCTCTCCAATCCAATATTTATTTTCAACACCTTCCAAATAATCAACTATTATACACAATTGCTAGTAGGATGTAATTTTTATAGTATAACATTTTTTAATGTTATATATTTATTCATTAAAAAAAACTTAAATAACATAAAAATAGTTACTGATTTATAGAATTATTTATATTTTTATTCTTTAGATGCCTATGGTATGATTTATTTGTTTTCATGATATCTGGCAATATTATTTTAATATATACATAAATAAGTATATACATTCCAAAGTCCTATATGTATATATTTTACACTGGAGACTTCATCATTTGAGGTTTGATATTTATGTTATTTTCATGTTTGTGGAAGAAACATTTACAATTGGAGTGGACTTACAGTAAAAAGAAAGTATTAAAAATATAAAAGTGCACCTATTAATGATATGTGAAACTGTTTAAATAATACCGCAGCTTAAATCTGATTTATTGAAACTGTTAGTGGACTCAATCTACGAGGACTTTTTCCCATTATATTTTGTAGAGGAAAATATCATTTCATGGACAACTGTTGTAAATCATAATCTCAAAATCACAACCAAACAGCCCATAAGGCAACAGTGTCTCGCAATTACAATTCCTACGTGGCAACACTGATTGGCGTAGACCACTCAACACGCAGCCCACGCGATGTGGTTGGCTGCGATCATGCCAGCTCGGATTCAAAGCCCTCCGTCAGTATCCATCAGGGAGCATGTGTGAAAAGGGTTCCTCGATTAGCCCTAACAATATCATGGCCAGACTTTAAAAGCAAAATTCGGCCACATGCTCTCTGTTTCGTCACATTGCCAAGCTCCAGCTCGCGAGATCGCAGCCGCGGCAATCGTTCTAATCGCAGCATTTGTACGAGAGGAGTCGTCGAACTTCGGGGAGGAATTCATGAGCGGTTTCGGTTGTGGGTTTTTCTGGGTGTGGTGAAGCAGGGAGGGGAGGGGGTTCTGTGAGAGTCGGTGTTTTCGGGGCTGGGAATCGTAATCAATCGACATGGATGTGATAAGTACGAGTGTAGGAGCAGGGGCCACTGGAATAGAGAATGTTGTGGTGCACCCGCTGGTGCTTTTAAGTATTGTGGATAATTACAACCGTGTCGCTAAGGACACCCGTAAGCGCGTACTGGGTGTGCTCCTGGGATCCACCTTCCGCGGGCGTGTTGATATCACCAACAGCTATGCAGGTGAGCTGGAGTGGATCATAGCGCTCTTGGATATGTAACTTGAGTATTTGCATCGGCGATTGGTTGTGTGATGGTTGTGTTCGCGGTGATTGATTTCGTCTTGTTGACGCTGAGGTCAACATTTTAGGGTTAGGGTAGTGATCATGGGGTGGAGTTGAAAAGCGAGATTGCTCAAGGGACGTGTCGCGTTTCTACTTATTTTTCATATCTAATTTTTGGACTTTGCAAGCGCGATGAGTGATCTTTTTATGGACTATAAAATTGGAAGAAAAAATAATACCATAGGGCGATATGAAATTCTATTTTGGGACTGAAAAACGATCGCGATGGGGATGGGAGTGATTTTTTAGTGCCCTTTGAGGAAGATGACAAGGATGCCAGCATATGGTTCTTGGACCACAACTATCATGAGACTATGTTCGACATGTTCAAGAGAATTAACGGTATTCTTACTACTTCTTTCCTCCAACTGATTAACTTCTTTGTAGTTGTTTGGATGAAGAACGCAGCTGCAAGTTTAGCGGTGTGTTTTAACCAATATTTTCTAATTTTGACTGGTATGTCTCGTAACATTTTGAGTATGGCAGATTTGTTAAATCTGTTTGTGGTAAAACTGACTGTTGTAAGACGTGTTTGCTCAGCAAAAGAGCATGTGGTGGGGTGGTACAGCACTGGGCCTAAGCTTCGAGAAAATGATCTTGACATTAATGAGCTATTTCGGGAGTAAGTCCAATTTTATTCTGAACTCTGCATGTCGTACTATGTAGATGTACGACGTGGCCGTAACTACTTCATGTATAGTAGTTCTTAGAATGAATAGAACTTATACTTGGCAATATTTGCTACCCCTTCAAGAGTCTTACTCTTAACCGAAGTTTTTCATATTCCTTTGATGCAGTTATTGTCCAAATCCAGTCCTGGTGATTATTGATGTACAGCCTAGGGAGCTTGGCATTCCCACAAAGGCGTACTATGCGGTGGAGGGAGTCAAAGTGGTAATTATACATGATTTCAAATAGTTCCAAAGTGTGCAAGCAAAATTTGATATTTATTTTTGATCACATGAATTATTAGGTCGTCTCAGCTTCTGCCCTGGTTCTACGGGGATTAGGGCACTTGAGTACCACAGAGCTTTCTTAATCATGCGTCAAATTAGATGCAATCCAACATTTTTAAAACATATCTTCAGTGGGCATCATCGCGATTTGGAAGCTCGATTGGATTGATCTATGATCTGTCTACAGGATGCTACAAAAAAAAGCCAAAAGGCGTTTGTGCATGTTGCCTCTGAGATTGGAGCCTACGAGGCCGAGGAAATTGGTGTGTATTCACTACCATCAAACGTTTTCTGTGATCTTCCACATTCAGACCTGAATGTTGTTAATTTGAAATAACTGTCTTTATGTCAGCGTCAATAGAAGAGTTGTAATGTTTTTTTTATATGTAATGACCAGTTGAGGATGGCAGCAGATTTTTCTTATACAGTTCAAGTGCAGATGGTTTCAGTTTCTCTTTCTTCTGTAACCTGCGTTTTGAGGGAAGCTTGCACATGTCGTCAAGTAATCTACGCTTATAACCTTTATCAGATTAACAAATTTGATATTTTCGTGTGCAGGTGTGGAACATTTGTTAAGGGATGTGAAGGATGCGACCATCAGCACTCTTGCTACCGAGGTACGGAATTAGTCTATAAACTTGTCCTTTTGTAATTGGTGTAGTAGCAGTATTTTATTATTTTATTATCAATTGACTGACCATCTTGCTAACTTAAACAGTCTGCTTGTTATTGACCATATTGTTGAATGTTGTACAGGTGGGGGGAAAGCTTGTAGCATTAAAGGGGTTGGAAGCACGACTGAAAGAGATCCATGCTTATCTGGAGCTTGTTGTGGAGGGTAAATTGCCTTTGAATCATGAAATTTTGTACCATCTACAAGTAAGTTCTTATCTTACATCTATAAATTTCATTCATATAATCAAGTCAGTTGCATCTTGATTGTGAAGCATGCTTTGACTGCGAAATATATTATGCGGGAATGATGTTCTGATGATTCGTCTCTTATTTCCGAACAGGATGTATTCAACCTGCTACCCAACCTCAATGTCCATGAGCTTGTTAAATCCTTTGCTGGTGAGTTAATGTTGTATGGGTTTGTTACGTTTCTCCATACTGCTTGTTCATTTTCGATGTAATGTTGATTTTTATTTAGTTCATACACCAGTGAATCACGTGAACATGTTTAGCATTAAGTCGCATACTGAAGTGCAGCTCTGTCTGGAAATGGGTCATCATTATGTTTAGTATGGACTAGCTTCAAGGCGAGTACTCCGGATACTTTGAACATTTGTCGTTAAAAATCATTTCTTGGGAGTTATTTGTGTCAAGTTCTTCAAGCGTGGGCATTCACAAAATCTGGATACTTAGTGGTCAAACACTACTACTAAATTCGCTTTTCTGGTATTTTTGAAATGAAAGAATATTAGTTGGTTTTGTTTTGGTTTGACTGTGTAGATTTGGTTTTCATGTCTCAGAAGTCAGGGTGCTCATGTTAAATACTTGTGTTGGTTATGCAGTGAAAACAAACGACATGATGTTGGTGATTTACCTGTCTTCCCTTATTCGGAGTGTTATTGCTTTACACAACCTCATAAATAACAAGGTATAAGATTTTTGTTGAGGCTGCCCATTTCTAAGTTTTTAATGATGTAGCTGATGATATACGCTAATTCTCTTTTAGCGTATATCATCAGCTATCACTCGGCTAGAGCAAGTGGGAATATCTTTAGTATATTCGAAATTTGCTCGAGTGTCTGGTAAAGTTTAGATCATGTTAGGAATGTGATGAAAATGTTGTCGCTTGCAGATTTTGAATAAGGAGCACGAGAGAATTGCAGATGCGGCATCGGCTAGTGTTTCTGCTATCACAGTTTAGGTAGTGTAACACCGGTGCTCGGCTCTCGAGTGGGACATTGCTCTGCTGTAGGTTTTTCATCCTCTGTGAATTCATCGTTACATTTTCATAAGAGTTAATCCCACTGTTTCTCTCCAAATTGCAAGCATGACACATGATTGATATGGACATAGTTCTTAAAACTCTATTTTAGAGCACAATCTGAATTTTATACAGTGGTGTTTTGTATTTGCAAGGTTCTAGTTCAGAACGGTATGCATTTTTTCTCCAAAATGCTCTAAATATTTTTTACGATCTTTTAGGCTACGATTTGTGGTTGTGCTTCTAATGATCTCATTACTGCGATTAAGAGTTTTGGACGAATATCCATTTTGTACTCGATCCAGTAAGCATGATCGAGACTTGAGCTCTTGACTTGGAAAGTGTCTTGGGCTCAAACCTCACTTCTCACACCTTCGTTTCGAGTTTAATGTTTGTGTGCAAGTCAGCATGGACCAAGTTCAAAAGTGCTTATGGCAGAAACATATTATACTGTAAAATTATGATCAAGCAAATTCCTTCTTATATTTCAGTAGATAAAAACAGGTATCTATACCCAAGTAATGACAAGTTTACCTTGTTTGGATTCTCTGCGAAGCAAAATATGTAAATTTTTCACATTCACACTGGTAGTACGGATCAAATTGAGATGGAATGTACATGAAACTACAATCAGGTGACAATCTACAAAGTCATTTCAGAATTCATTTCATAGAATTTACGTTGAGTGCGCGCGAAATATAAACTACTTTGGGCCCAGGTCAAAAGACACATCAAATGCCAGCACAAATCCGCAGTGATGAGAGAAGCCATGTTCATTGCAGATTGGTGGTGACCAATGGGACGATAGGTAGTTATTTCCAATTCAGGCATAACCTGCAAGTAATAAAAATTCCAAATGACTATGCAGAACACAGAATATAATAACCACACTAAAAAGAATGTTACATACGAGTTCCTCAGGAATACGCTGATCAAAAGACCCAATTATGGATTGACTAAGTCACCTAAGATAAAACTATTACGAAATCGGTCACACAGTAATCCTCAACCAATCCACGTTGTCAGGCTTCATTCCGCTAACTTCATCCTGTAGAAGATATACACACAATAGTAACTACAGATGTGGATCAGATTTGCTAGAAGCACATTTACTTGTGTACCTTCGTAGGTGAAGGCCAGAGGGGGTCCCTGCTGGTTGCCTAGTTTTACAATAATTTCGTTCATCAACTGGTGTGGTTCCCTTGAGAAGTCAAATTTGTACTACACATCTGGTACATCCGTCTTTAACACCAGTGCAGGAAAACCTAAGGAACTAACAAGAACATCTCCTTGACAAATTGCGGAGTTTGTTGAGACGACGACAATGCAGTCATTGAACGAATGTAGACAACGGTGCATTACTCGAATTAAACACACATAACTTGGACACAGGCTTGCAGAGCCTGACCAGCGAAAAACCGGACATCCACATCAGGATCTTCCTGAAGTTCCAACAAGCACGGCCGAATTGTTTGCTCCACAACCTGCAAGGATGTCATGTCAGAAAGGCGAAATAAATACAGCCTTAACGTCACACATGTTACGTATGCATCGCAAAAATACTAACACTAGGATACTACTGAGCACAAGTGAACAGTAAAGCTAAGAAATTAGTGTCTGTAAAAGCTGAAGAGGTAAAAATGACCACAACTTCAACGCAAGCCATTCAATCAACGAGCACAACAGACAGTTTCAAGTCAATCTACTACACAAACTCTTCTTTGAATAGACGCTAATAAGTATGAAGCTGCACAATACGGCAGGTGCCACTTTGCAACACTCAAATTCATTAAATAAACGATTGAGGGAAGCGCATACGAGATGGTGTGCTTACAGTGGAATCGACAATAGGAATCATAGATTGCAGCATCTTAGCGACGTTAAACTTGATATTAGGAACCCTGTCAAAGCAATTACAAAGAGTAAACTCAATACACAAGATTCAAATTCTACCTAATACTAGGTTTTGCAGCAAATCAATCATCAAGCTTAATTACATGGGTGCGGAATACTACAACACCTGTCTTTGGCTGCATTGATGACCACAGGCAACATTGTCTGGCAGGTGGCTTCGGCACCAACAACAGGAGCAAGAAGGGAAATGGCCACAAGCACCGTCATGCGATACAAGTAATGAGGATTGTTGATCTTTTCCATCACCTGCAAGTCCTCACAACATGGTCAGAAAAAAATCTCAGCCTATCAGTAGTATAAAAATTATCACAAATACACAGGTCTCTCAACCATAGCTCGTGTGTTTAACGAACAAAGGCTGTAATGTATCGACTGTGAGAGAAGCTCATAACTTCCATACTCATTACCGAGTTAGACCTCATCACAAACTTGTCGGGCAAGTACCTGTGGAATGATGTGTTGCAATGCCCACTCGGAACCGAACTCTTCGGCAAGACGCTTAAGGTTGTTCGCAGCAGCCTCTCGGATAGAGTACACCTGTTCAAAAAAAAAAAAAAAAACGATTAAAAGAAATATATGAATAAACCTTAAGGTACAGGTGTGTAAGCTCGAGGACAACTTTGGCGATATAAGTCAGCAACTTGTGATTAGAAATCATCCACATATTGCTTGATGGGAATATAAGAACCTGATCTTCAAGCCACTGCATGCATAGAGCACCTAGTTTGTCGTCAAAAAAGTCGACACCTAATTGGCTGGCCAATAAAGGAATGTACTCAATTATGGCAAGACGGACACGCCAATGCCGATCCTCTGCTAACTCCACAATGGCTGGCAAAAGTGACTGAGACAGCAAGTCGATGCCTATTACCTGTGATCAAAAAGTCCAAATTCAGATCCATTGGTTCTTTTCTTTGTGGAACACATCCAGTGTCTTGATGTGAACCCAACTAATGTCATGTCCATTAAAGAAAGGCCACAATACATAACTAAATCAAAGATTTATCAGAGCAACAAGATAGGGACATGTAATGAAATGTCCTTCACTAATAGAATTGATCATTACTTGGTTGACTTGATCTAGCTTGCTGATGATATTTAGCCGCACGTCTGGAAATTCATCCTTCAACAGTGATAGGAATATGGGTAAAAGTTGCTCAATAGTAGCTTCCTGCATAGATAAAACCAAAGCAACACGGAATTACACGTTGTCTCTCATTGGATAGCATATATACTCAGTTGGTCATGGAAAATTTTAAAAATTATAAAACACGTACAATACATTACAGTAAACCAATAATCACCGAAGAACTTTCAAACAATTTTTTTTACCATGCAAACAGATGGATCGATAAGCAAAAATGAATCTAACCTTGCCTAGCAATGGCGCCATGCCCATGATAACCGATGCAAGAGCAGCTCGTACATGTTGGGATGAATCAGTTGACAACTCCTACAACAACATTCCACATTGAATAGGTGGGGGAAGAGTGAAATATTGTGAAACTGAATTGGCAACATATAGGCATGTACTGAAATAAAAGTAACAAGCTTCTTCAGTTACGCAGAGGACCAACCTTCACACATGGAAGAATATGTTGTTGACCAACTTGAGGGTTGACAATCCCGCAAAACTTAGTGACTTTGCCTGCAGCAGCGATACGGACCTCTGCTTCATTATCCCGCAATAGACGTACATATGCTGGCACCAATTCCGTCCTAGAGCCAGATGAAAAACATAACCAAATCAGTGCCTACATTCAAGAAACTTATGACCAATGATGTTTACGTAAGTTGTGTTTTGAATCTCCTTGAGACAGACATGCTGCATTAACGAAAGGTCGAAAAAATATCTGCATGCCCTGTCACATGTCTTCTTACTAGATTCAAATATAAGATGTCCCATCCCAACAAAGCCCGGTTGGATCATGCAATAAGCGTTAATCAAGAACCATAAGCCAAAGTAGACGCAATCATCCCCCATCAGAGCCAAAATCATGTAAAAATACCAAAACGAAACAGTCATAAATAGATCAAAGTTCAGTCTAAATGACACATTTGCAGTAGTCGATTTTTAAACAAGCACCTGGTTGGTTCTGGTCCTACCGCCTCACAAAGCTCATATAACTGGTTGGCCACCATGTATCGTACCCTCCATGATTTGTCCTGGAATCCCACAGGGAAACTCATGATTTAATTATTGTATGTATATAACTATACTCAAAGAACATCCCTGGGGTTAGCTCTGAAAGAAGATTTAACAGAAAAAGTACAAGGTTAATATATTTAAAATGTAGTCTCAGAGACAACTATCAATTATAACCAATGAGTCTGCTTAGCTCGAATCCAAGCAGCAAGATGAGGCGTTTTTTCTTTAGAGTAACCCTTTTATGTTAACGACCTGTCTCAAAGGCAGTCAGCAAGCAAACTACATTTCCAGGAAAAAGTACACAAGCGACACACTTAAAGCCCTTTAAGAAAAGACTACTGCGGATGGAACATACTGACTCAGTGGATAGCATTCTTTAAAATGAGATTTGTCAATCACTGTGGCTGCCCATATAGAACAGATAAGCCGCGAAGTGGTGAGAGAAATGAAGGAACATCCCGAAAGATGTACATGATTGAAATGTGATGTCCCTACCTGTGAGAAACTGACTATAACGGGGAGAATATTTGCCTCGCAGTCAGCCGGCTCCAGAAGTTTGCCCAAAGTAGCACAACTCTCCACTGCTAGAAGCCTCACCGAGTCTTGATCTGCAACCAAATTTCCGCTCTTTCAGTTGCAGGCCAATGTACACCGAGTGGAAATTTTCCCTAACCGTTACGCTCTTGAGAGTTGGCACATTCAGTTACAAGGAGAAGGGAGATAACAACAGAAATCGATTTTTGATCCAGAAAGATGCTTTGAAAATTTTAAATGAGTCTAGCGGTGAGCCGAGAAAATTCACGATATTCTTGACAGAAGAAATCAGGGGTCAGCAGAGAGTGGGTAAATGCCAATCCTCTGCCATGACCACACACCATTTCTCACTTTTCAGTACCCAAGGAGCTGTTAAAATTTTACAAAATGCATACAACGCTCTCAAGAATGCAGATGTACCATCTTGAGTGAGCTCCCTGAAGAAGGTCATAATATCAGTCTTCAGGTACATGGCTTCGACGGTAGCCGCAAATTTTCCCAAATTTAGTGCAGCTGATCGTCGCACCATAGGCATCTCATCGTGACATAGCTGATTGTAGACCGAACGCAACTCAGCCCGAAGAAGATCTGGAGAACTAGGGTAAGCGACGTGGAAAAGCCCGCAGGCTGACACTCGTGCGGTGAACCATTCCCCAGCACCGAGCCTCTGTTATCATCGACAGAGAAAGTCAACACAGGGAACCTACAGGTTGAAAATGCTGAAATAGTGCCGTACATTGCCTAGTTACGGCAACAAGACCTAAACTTAAGATATTTCCCTCCGCGCTACATTCCACCAGCTACATTGCCTGGCCAGACGAAAAAATTTCTACTTCCTCACACGAAACGCTTGCAAAATCCAACCTCGATACATCGAAACCCTAGAAGATAGGTCCGAAACCGAAAGCTTCAAACTCTCGCTAGACGACATTTCCTCTCCAAACGCCCCAATGACAGTTCCCTGCACATCTCTCCCCTAAGAACCCTAGCAAAATGCTGCAAAAAAACGCAAAACACCGCAACACAACACGTCACAACAGAAAAATGGTAAAAACCCCTGCTAACCTTAACAAGCGGAATGAACCACTCCACGACATCTCGCTCCTTCATCTGCGAGCCAATCTTGCAAAGCGACTCCACAGACTTGTCCCGCACCACGGTTTCCTCCACCGTGCACAGCGACTCCAACGGCGACAACAGCACATGTGCGTAGTCCACCCCGCCAACATATGGGATGAACCCTCCCAGCTCGTCGGCCATTGCCAGCAGCACTTCATCGTCGTCGTCATTATTCTCGCTCAAAAACGGAATGAGCTCCTTGCGCGTCCGATCCTCCCCAAGCGCTCGAGCAATGGTGGACAAGCGCCGGATCGAGTTCAGGCGTAGCTGAATATCATCATTCTTGAGCTCGTCGATGAGAATGGCTATAGGATACAGCGGCTCGTCCACCATCGCCATATTCGCCATCCTTCACTTCTGCCCCTCCTTCCCTCAAACTCGACGACCTCGTGCCGTCTATCTCACACTCTCGTATCCACAATCAAAGACAGTGACGAAGGCGCGCCTCGCGGTGTCAGTTGTGGCATCCTTTAGCGCTAGGTTCCAGCATGGCGTTCCCGTCCCCTACGACACCTCTAGAACAACGTCGCTCATTTCAGTTTCTGCAACACACATCGTGAGATGCTCAATAAAATAACGCAAACTTTAAAGTTAATGTAATCTACCCCCGCAAAGTTTGTCACCTTCCTCCCTGGAGTAATTATGCTACTGTGGTTTTACGGTACCGTGACTCATTGACATATCCTAAAAATAAATTTCACAGCTTCACGGGAGTAGAATCAACCCTTACGGCAACGCCAGCCGCAGCCTTTATAATTGACCAAGTCTTACTGGAGATTTTTTTCCTGCAGATTTGGTTCTTTGTGTTTTGAGACACCCCCAAGCTCCTACCATGGCTACGTCAGCGGATGGGCATTCATCCTCGACATAGAACATTCATCCAGTAGAGCCCTCTGGGTTATCCGAACCTCGTCCTTACGCTGGATTGGAAAGAACCCTCCTTCCCCGAACCAGGAATGTCCTGTGGATGAACGTCCCGCACGGGCACCCATCCATGGGGCCATCCGGGCAGAAGGCGAACCGGGCAGGATAGAGGGTGCGGGGAGCGCTTTCGTTGAAAGAGCGCGGTGCCCATGGACAGAAACAATGTGCGAAATTTGAAACATATTATATTATCAGAAAACTTATTGTTTAATTCTTCATACAAATATTTTAAGATGGAATATTAGGGCAGAGCCTTGAGGCTTTGCAATGATGATTGTGAGAAGAAACATCTCTAATACAAGTGTGGGGTGTCATGCCTTTGCTTTTGTTTTCTATATTTAATTTGATTAATTAATTAATTAGATTTTTTTTTTTGTTTGTAGGATGACAATCTCTAATCCACTCTTTACCTTCACTTTTTGAGATTTAGAAGTATGAGTATCACCTTTTGAGATTAAATTTGTGTTTATATATATATATATATATATATATATATATATTTGTTTTTATTAAAGCTATCTCCAATAAAATTTGGAACCAAAATTTTTGACCTCCTAAATTTTCATACATCCAAATTTTTTTAAAAAATAAATGAATATTTTGAAGGTAAAATTCACTCTTAATTCAAATTTTAAGATAATTTTAATTAAGTTTTTATTAGAATTAGTGGTGTAAAGTAAGAAAAAAAAAATAAGAAAGAAAGAAGATAGAAGAAGGAAAAATAAATACAAGAAAGACAATCAAAGAAATATACATTCCAAAACTAGTTGTGGTTTATTTATTGGATTTTTACTTAGTAAATAGTAAAGAATAAAATTAAAAATAATATATTTTTTAATAAGTAATTTATTTATCTTTCTAAAGATGTAAAAACATAATTAAATATAAGTTACTATGAATAAGTTATAACAATTTGAAGATAGAATGTAAATAATAGAAAAATTAAGCAATTGGATTTTGCTTCAAGAATAATTTGGTAAAATAGTCAAGGATTTGAGTATCACCAAAGCTCACAAGTTGTGTATAGGATATCTTAAAGGGACCATAAGGCTTAAGTCTTATTCTTTTAACTACTTCTAAAGTGCTATAACCTATATATGACATATAGACTTCATTTTCTACAACTATTATATCTACTAATTACTTTAGTTTTTATAAGTAGAATTATTGTTTTTGCAATTTTGACTTTTCTATTTTTTAAAAGAACACCTAACTAGCATAATAGATGTTTGAAGCTTTCAAATCTAACTCCAATTCTTAATAATATCCTCTAAAAATAATTTAAATATTTTTACTAAAATCTTTAAGATGTATTCTAAAAATTAACATATAATTTTGATAAATTCTAAGTAAATTCTAAAAAATATTTAAATATTTTTGAAATATTAATATTATATTTAGAGATATTTTAATATATTTTAGTATTTATTTATAAAAATAATAAATTTAAATAAACTAAAAATTCTACTTTCTATATAAATTATTAAAAAGATATAATATTTTTTAATTTTTTTTCTATCTTTTAGCTATTATTTAAAGCTTTATAAAAAGTAAGACTTATAAACAAAATACCTTTTTAGACATTGATTTCAAGAATTAAATATCAATTATCACAAATAAAAAGAATACTTACCAATTAGGATAATGGCCTCGAAGACTTATAAAGATTCTATTTTTATGCTATTTTATTCAACAATACTCTTATGACTTATAAAACTTTCTAAATCCTAATTAATACTTAGATAATAAAATATATCTATATAACTTAATAATTTCATATAAAACTTTCTAAATCCTAATTAATACTTAGATAATAAAATATATCTATATAACTTAATAATTTCATATAGATGTACATCCTCTTAAGGCTACTAATTAGTAGCTAATAAATCTAACTAATATATAATTAATGGTGATAAGTGTTAACTTATGATTATCTCTAATAAATTAACTAAAAAAACACAAATATATTTGAACTGGTCTTGTTGAAGCCAAATATAAAATACAAGAATAAACTCAATTAATTTAAATAAAAAAAATAATTTAATCAAACAAAGATCAACTATAAATTCCAAATTAGTCTTGTAATGAATATCTAAGGTAGATATCTAAGGATGAATATCTGAGTGTAAAAGTCACTTCTTACTTCAAATTAAAAGTTAGATTTAAATAAAATTATATTTTATTTAGTGCTGTAAATAATAAAAAAAAAAATAACAAGAAAGAAAAAAGAAGAGAGAAAAGACAAATGAGAAAAAGACAATCAAACAAACATACATTCTAAAACTAGTTATATTTTGTTCACTAAATTTTTACTTGGTATATTTTAATAATTAAAAAATCATACAGATAATTCTTTTATCTTTTTAATAAATTAAAAAATATCATTAATTAATTATTAAAATTTGAAGATTTAAAACAGAAAAGAAAAAAATTTAGTCATTTGGATTTTGTCTCAAAGATACCTTAATTATGTGGTCAAAGTTTCAAGCCTCACCTAGGTTCACAAGTAGTATATAGGATGTCTTAGAGGGTCCACAAGGCCTTAATTTTATCCTCTTAACTACCTCTAATATGCTACAACTTTTATGGAATATGTACACCCTCTTTCTTACAATTATTATTATAACTAATCGTCACTCTAATTCTATTAGTTAAATTATTTTTTTAGAAAATTTTAATTATAACATATTTAAAAAAAAACATCGTATTAGCTAAGTAGCTGCATGAGGCCTTCAAATCTTGCTCCATTTCTTCATAATAGCTTCCAAAAGTAGTAAAATTATTCTTACTGAAATCTTAAAATATAATATTCTAAAAACTACTAAAATCTATAAAAAATTTTATTAAGAATCTATTATTATAAATTTTTACTCAAAACCAACCTTGTAACTTATAAGATCTTTTAAATTTTAATCAATATTTATAGAATCAAATAAATTCTATAACATAATATTTTTTAAATATATATATTTTTAAACAATATTAAAAGATTAATAAATCTACAAATTAAGATGCATTAGTAGGAATTATAACCAATTATAAATAAAGATTACTTTTTTTAGAATTATTTGCATTAGTTGTTGTAATTTTTGTTGTTATTTTTATTTTATTTTATTTATTTATTTTAACTTCTTTTTAATTATTTCTTATATTTTTATAAAAATTTTAATATTATATTTTTAATAAATATTTATTAATTAAAATTTTAAATTTTAAATAGTTAATATTATTAAATTATAAGTAATAATTATAGTTAAAAGAATAGTATTTATTGAGTGTAAATATATTTTTTTTATTTATTTGCAAGACTTTTTAAAATTATCTTAGTAGCAATTGATCATACTTTATAAATATAATTTATAAAATTGATTTATATTTTTTTATTTGTCTATCAAATTGATGATTAAAAATAGAAGCTAATTTAAAATCAACATTAAATGTACTAAAAACATCTTGAAAGACCTTGATACAAATTAGAAATTCTATAATATTAATAAATATAATAAAAATAATTATTTAATTTTTTTCTAATATTTTTTTAAAAAATAAAGTACCAAATGTGATCTTTTATTCAAAAAATTATTTATTACAAAAAGAAAGTTATAAAAATCAAATATTAAAAAAATTGTAATAAAGTTCATTCAAGCAGATGACTAAAATTGTTTTGGAATAGATAGAAGTTAAAAAAGTCTACATGATTAATGACATAAAGTCTTTGTTTTAGAATAAGTGTTACAAGAACAAATAAATGTTTGAAAACTTTCCATATTTAAAGCCATCAATTGTTTTCAAATGAGCTCTAAAGATTTATTTTACCAATTTTTTTTATGTTGTTTAAAAGTCATATTTTGCTCTCTCTCTCTCTCTCTCTCTCTCTCTCTCTATGTATATATATATATATATATATATAAAAAATTAAGATTAGTATTTAAATGTATATATTTTACAATAAAAAATTATATTTAAAAATAAAATTTATGAATATTATAATAAAATTTATTTTTCATATCTAAAATAAAAGAGTCTATTAATATATTTGAACAAAATTTATTAAATGACTAAAAGTCAACTGAAATTATAGGTTTTACATCTTAATTTTTTAATATCACAAAAAGTGGATAGAGGTTGATTAAATGTGGCATCTTTTTCTTTTGATATAAGATAGAAAAGATAAGGAATTTGATATAAAGAATTTAGATATAAGATATAAACCTCAAATTGTTGCTCTTCAATCTTTATTCTTCTCTAATTTCTTTCTGCAAATTAATCTTATAAGTAGAATAAAAACTTCATATAGATACTTGATAAATATTTGACTATAGATTACAAATAATTCTAAAAAACATTACACATTATAAATAATATTTGGTATTTTTCAATCTATAATATTTTGTAGCTTCTAAAATCTACTTGCAAATTATTCATCAAAATAATACATTTAAAAATTCTATCTTGAGTTGTGTAGAATTTATATATATATTTTTTTATCTTGATATATAGTATTAGATTCTTTATTTTTTTAATATAAGAAAAATATATTATTTATATTCTTCTATATTCTTAGAACAAGTAAAAATATTATTTTAAATAATAAGCACTTAAATTATTTT